TTGAAAAGAGACTGACCTTTGAGTTTGTTTCGGCATTTCTTCTCAGAGTAGTCAGATAGGAAATGCCGGCTTCATCTAGTTTTTAACATATAAATTGACGTGTAAAAGTGCCGTTTTATGGCCTATTTGCAAAAATAAATTCATTGTTTCATTGTATTATAATATTTATGTTGCAAAAGGACGCCAAGGTATGGCGCAATGCTAAAATCCATCCCAGCAGTAAAAAAAAAATTCCCGTTACAAATTAAAATACAAAGAGCGATAGAGCTGCTAGATAAATAAAGCTGGTGTCAAACGTTTCTAATTGTATATGAATAACATACCATTTTAATCGTTAATTATCGATTCTTCCTTAAGGAAATGTTTTTAATAGCGACAACACCATCAGGAACAGCTCATTAGTTTTAGAGATAAGTACCCGGATAGTATGAGCAACTAACAAAATAATAATCATAAATAGATATTTTTTGTGTTTTTCCGATACTGATCGATGTTTGAATAACATACAGTTGACAGAGACAGCAGCACTTGAGAACAATGTTTTCTTAAAATAAAAGATCCAACCTTCCTTCCAAATGGGGAAGTTTATGTCAATCCGTTTAATGAAAGTATTGCTACCCCTGGGCGTCGCCAAGGCCCTTTGGCCTTTGGCCGATTAGGATGTTTATGGGCAAGCGTGCTTCATTTCATCGCATCATCGCTTACAAGTCAGATCTGACTGCACAGTTAGCGCGGTGGCTAGGCAACCTGCTGCCGCGCAAAGTGTTGCGAGTTCAAATCTTTGTGCGGAAAATCCTATCAGTTTTCATTTAGATACTTGAATGCTAACAGAAAAAAGACCTTTCCGTTATGAAAAATCTTTTCAACCCAAGGCTAATTCGAAGCCAGTATTTTAATGCTTATATGTTTGCTTTTTCCATTTTCCTCTGTCAGACACCATCCTATACCATCACAGATGGGAATTAACCACAATAAGGGCCGATGTTAAGCCGGGATTGTGGGGTCAAGCGCAATAAGGTACCGCGGCCTCGGCCTAGAGCAGGAAAAGGTACGGGAGGTTCCTCATCATACTCTAACCGAGAGAAGGCATTTGACGATATTTTCTCCTCAAAAAAGCTGCTGGAGTAAAACATTGACACTTCAATATTCTTACAAAACCAAATATTAGTATAACCACGCATAGAAAGTCTTGACAAACTACATATTTGCTTTTAGGGGCGTCCACAAATTTAATTAGGTAAGCCGTACGGTGAAATTTTATGGAAAATAAATACACCATTTTTTAACAACAAAACTACTGAGTAATATTGAATATCGAGTTTAGTACGTACAGCTTTATTTAAGGTTTTTTAGCGTCCATTTTCCTTATTTGCTCAATTCTTAAGTCAAAGTGCAGCACTAGGGTCGCGTGGCCGATTAGGTGCGCATGCGCATAGCCTCTTCAATATTTTTTTCGAGTGATTTTGTGTCAGTACTCAGTAGACCTCTGTCTTTCTCTCTTGTTTTGTTTTAAATGGATTTTCAAGGTACCTACTATTTTATGATTCTGTTAGATAAAAGATCGTGAGTTTTATAATGCAATGCCAGCGATTTTAGTTACGAGGTTATAAAATAAAACTGATACTATATTTATATAAAATAAAAGTATATTTATATAACTTACATTTATTTTTAAGAATTGTGTTTAGTTTTTTACTAATTCTCATTAGTTACAAAGAAATCAAACGTTAATTTATTGATTTCAAGCGTTTTTATTGCTAAGTCAGTCTGTGAAACCACCTACACAGGTAGATATAACGTATGTATAATTATATACAATTATACATATGTATATATGTATTGTATACATAATGTATGTATTATGTATAAACGTAATTATTAAGAAAGGATACATGTATATAATGCGCATACATCATAAAGTATCGAACCCACGTTTAGCTCCTGAATTGATTTTGTAAAGCTGAGGATACAAGAATGAGTGTAATAGCAAGGTACATCGTCGCTAAAAACTATACTTCTTCAGGAAAAACAAATTAATGAAAAAAATACCAAACAATACAATGGTGTTCTTTATTTTTTTACAAATGTATATAAATAATCCTTCAGTCAAAATTAAGTGATTGAAAACTGACAAATTATTCAAAAACGTCACCAATTTCTCAAAAACAATCAAATCTTACACCTAGAAACACCACCAACAGAAATCACCGGCTGTCAAAATCCGTATCCAACAGACCGGCCGACTTATTTATCACTTTGGCGCGAGTGCGTGCTTCGAAAGTCAAGCGTTCTACGCCACAGACTATATAACCCTTAACCACACAGCCTATTGTCTTTACGGCGACCTCAGCTGTTCCCTATAGCTGTCAAGTCTACCGTTGTGCGTTTGGCTATCTCATATGTAATCTGTGCTTTACCTTACGACGAATGGATAAGCGGTGACATAGCACGCACGTGTCGTGTCTCTTTCACACATATCAGGTGTGTGTGTGTAACTCTATACACGTTTGTCTTAAAGTAAAATATCTGTGGGGATCTCTCGTTTATTTAGGTGTGTAGTTGACTATGTTTGTACCTTTCTAAAGTACATTATTTCTTAGATGTAGTAATTTTTGTTTATGATTGAGAACATATCACTTTAAGCCGACGAAGAAGACAAAATTTACACATTTTACATGTATTTTAATTAAATACTCAACAGTTTTTTTAGGCAATACCTAGTATAAGCACACGAGCCGAAAAATTGCCTGATGATATTTAGCGATAGATATAGATAGCGCTACTCTAAGAGTCATAAATGGGTTACTAGCCTTCCAAGAATGAATACGCTCTCTTCTTATTCAAGACTAGCTTTTGCTCGCGGTTTCGCCCGTATGATATGTTGATAACAGCCTGCGTTAATCCAGAGCATCACCTATCTACGCATCAACTTTTATCCAAATCAGTGCAGCCGTTTTTGCGTGAAAGACCAACAGACATACATCAACGCATTCCCACAAACTTTCATATTTGTAATATAAGTAGAATTATAGTAGGATATAGCAGATTATAGAAGATTGAGAAAAAAAGTAGGTATCTATCTACCTTTTGTAATTAAACTAGTAGTATAATGTGTCTCCAACCTAAACGCGGTAGGTGGGCAACTGTTGAATCAATTTGTCATACGTTATGTATGCAGTCCTTGAGGCTAGCCTTATCGATATTTAGCTAAACATCATCAAAATCAACAGAATAATGTACTTGGAGACATTATACCGACACATATTTGGTGATTGTACATTGTAGGTATCATTAATTCTACCATGCAAATATTATAATGAGGTAAAATTCGTAAGTTTGTATGTAGGGGGTAATCTTTGGAACCGCTTTTCTGATTTCCATAATTATTTCATTAGTAGACCTACATCGTTCAATAAAACATCACGCTACGATCAAATGGAGCCGAACAGCGGGTAAATTACGCGGGAGTAGCTATATAGTCATATTATAAAATATCACTTATTTTTATCATCTGTCAAGAGCTATGTACATGTATGTGTTTGTTTTTCAATAACATTAAAACAATTACACAGACTTTAATGGAATTTTACATAGAAATAAATCAACTAATTATTATTAATGGTTATTTTTACAGGTAAAAATGAGACATTAAATTATAAACTTAAACAGATCAGCAGTTAAACGATGACTGACTACATTTAAAGTCATCAGTTAAGAAACATGAATACATAACGGTAAGTTGTAAATATATACAGACGATTTATTGCATTTTATTTATTTCCGCCATTTTGTCAAGAATTTATTGAAAATTTTAATAGGTCGAATGTAAAATGTGAATTTATCGCCGAGGTAAAGCTGTCTAGTCATACTTATTTCATGTCCGTTGCAGGAATGACCTTATCGATCAGTTTTTAGGATGCACAAATATAATCTTTTATCTAACCTCAAGGCTATTTCTGTGTGTCTAGGTGATAAGTGTAGGTAAAAAAGTTAAGGCTTATATTTTATTACTTAGGGCTGATTTTTCAATGGTTAGATAAAAGTTATCTGGGGAAAAATTATGATGCTGTCGCATCAGAATGTTTGCATAAGACAGTGACAGCAACAATTTTATCGCTCAGACAACATTCATCTGATTATTGAAAAATCAGTCCTTAAATAGTTTCTAAGACAAAATAATTAATACGTTTATTACATTCTTCATCGGTAAAATATTATGTCATGCGAATCAAGTTATAGAAGAAACGCTATTTAATAATTATACACGTATAAAAAAAGGCTACTACACACAGGTTTTACACCTTTCCCTAGCCAATGATTGTTATGTTCTTAAAAAAATGTTTAAGATTAGTGTTAGATAAATATCCCCTAAATCACTCACTGTGTTAAGTAAACATTGGTAAGATATATATGTATTTTACGTCATCAATCTTCATACACTTACTAATATATTGTGCAAACAGTGCCCATTTTAAGATGGGCAGGCGACAATTTTTTCTTGCGCCTCACCAGTCGAACATTTTGCTTAGACACACAAAAAAAGATTTTACAGTTATTGTGGTTAAGATTAAATTGAAACAACACTATTTGTGGTGCACTAGATAAATAGAAATTGAAAAATAGAAAGACGTCCTAGATGATCATTTTATAATTGTTTTAAAGATTTTTTTATTTAAGTAGTATTTTATATACATTCAATATAACGCCTATTATATTATTTCGATTCTGAAGTTTTTTGTCATTTGCTTATAGTACCTGTATCTATACTAATATTGCAAGTTTATATGTAGGGGGTAATCTTTGGAACCGCTGGTTGGATTTCCAAAATTCTTTCAATGATAGATACCTACAATGTTTCTGAGTGCTCTACAGGCTGTAAAAGATCACCCTACGATCAATAAAAGCCGAGCAGCGGGTAAAACAGCGCGTCAAAAGCTAGTTGTATGATAAATTTCTAACCATTATTATACTTATTAATAAATCATATAAAAATAACTCACCATTTCTATTTTCACTGTCAGCCGGCTTCATCTGGATGGGGTGGTGCATCTGTTGGACAAAAGAAAAAAAAAACATAAATTGTTTGAACAAAGTGAATAAAGCTTTATTAATTACTGATAAAGTTTATTTATGTTTGCTCTGATAAAAATAAATGTAAGGTTTACTTCGATTTATGAAAATAAGTAATTGTTAACTAACATCTGTTATAGTATTTATTGGATTATTGTGTATTGCTTATTCTTATCGTTTTTTTTTATTTTATTGGATTTGAATATATCAACTTTTATTCGTGTATGTTATTTTTATATACCATTTGTCGATTGAGACTGGTCGGTTCCAAACTGTCTAATTATTTTCTTTTTTTGGCTAAGTGTTAGTGTTACGCTGATCACACCAAATTAGTAAAGTAAAAAAAACCTGATTGTGAAACAGTAACCATGGAGTTTCTTGCTCGTTCTTCTCCAGCGGAACCTTCTCATTAGAGCTGACCTTTAGAGCTGAGCTGACTTTATTAACATATGTATGTATAAATTAGTAAAGTGAAATATAAGTAAAGCAAAACTTAGTCTTATTTATTGAAAAAATTAAATCATAACAAAATTTTCTATCTAGTTCCGGAGTTTAAATACTCAACATTTTAACTTCGGAATACTCTTAGAAGAAATGGGATGTTATTAGTCAGAAACGGTCAACTATACATGTAGTACTAATAGCAGAAGTAAAATCATATCTATTCATACAAGAACGGACATAAAAAAGTATTTTTTAAAACTAGTTAGAACCGATGCACTCACAAGCAATGTTATCCATGTTAGAATGATTAACAACGTGTCGGTTACCGACATCTATTCCATTTTGGGCAACGACATCCTGCAGTTGTGTGAGCAGAAAGCCCATAGTAAGTCCGAGTATAATGGAGGACATACGGTGGCAGTGGGCCCTGCCAAGGCACCACCATGTTCTCAGGGAAGTAATCGGCGGCGGCGATTTCTTGCTACCGGTCTTAGTAGTCAAGGCCATGGAGTGGAGCGAGGCCAACCACCAAAGAGAAAATAGACCAAAGATGGAGTCTATAGGGCTGATGTTCAGCCGGGGTTGCGGGTGCAAATGCGATAATGTACTGCAGCCCCGAATTGGAGCAGAAGAAGGAATTGGTTTTTAGTCTGTAAGAATTTGACCCAGGGAAAAAATAGAACGATGCCTAATAAAATGAAAGAATGGGGTACCCATTTGATTCTAATCCGTCCGATTTTGTGTCTCATTTTAATTTTCCCTCATCAATAAATACACCTCTCTATTACACCTAAACTTTGTCAACAAACAATCATTACAAACTATGCCTCCCTGTCGGCAACAACATCGTGTTTTTTTACTATACAACAAAGTTGAACTTCTGTCCATTTCACATTGATATAACCACGAATTTATTTATATGTTAGGTGGGCAAACAATCGCGAACTATTTTAATTATTCGTAAACATAGTTCGGGCAGCGAGCGTTGGTGTCACACTATTGTTTTGAGGACTCCGTGTTGATCTGTTTATTTCTCGACTCATACACATGTTTTGAATGCGAAAGGTGTTGGGCAAGCGTGTAAAATATATGGTTGAAGACTGGAGATTTAAAAAAGGGGTAAAGCGTACAGTAGGGATGAAGGTTTTTTTTTATAGGAAAGATTGGTGCACGAGCAGACGGATCACCTGATGTTAAGCAACCGGCGCTGCTCTGGGACGCTCATAACATCAAAAGAGTATTGTGCCTGCCTTTTTATGAGAGATTTAAGGATGGGGTGTTAACAATAGTGAGAGAAGAAGTACTGGGTCTCTGGTAATCAAACCCACACGTTGAAATACAATACGTGCTGTTTCACGCCGGTGTTCTCTTAGGCCGTGGTAAGAGCCGGCCCATTCGGGCCGAAGCTCTGCTTACAATTATATTACATATGTGCATATTATTATTTTTTGAACCTACATGCATATATAAAGGTGGACGTCATTTTTTTCTTTATCATTCGTTAATTTTTAATATCTGCAGGAATAGGCTAGTATGTCTGTTATTATTCATCATCAAAAAAAAAACGTAATTACAGTTTCCTCGCTTTTACGAGTAGTATAAAACCCGATACACGATGCTAGATAACGTCTGACAATCCGACCAACGAGAGGAACGAGGCAGGGTATTAATCAATGTAGCACTATTTTAACAACTGAATTATAAACGTGACGATTTAATCTGTCACGAATGATAATATTTATTGCAGCCTTTAAAAATACATTTTATAATACTTCTCGCTTTTCACACATGCACACACACGCACACATGCTACGATATGTAATATGTAACGTGTATATTATCATTAATCTCTTGAAGGGGCAAGCAGAGATCTTCAAATAGGAATGTAATAAGATCGAATGTATTATGATGTAAGTATGAGGTTAAGCTAGCACCCTCATCAATATTTTGACTGCAAGGTGGGCGAATTCGCTGGGCAAATAGCTGCTGTTCAACGTATCGCGGGCTCGATTCTCGTACGGAACAACAGTGTGATCCACAAATTGCAGTTTTGGGTCTAAGTGGTTTGTGGATGTGCATTTGTATGTTTGTAAACGCAGTTACGTCACAAGAGAAAATCCTAGTGTGGGGTAAAGTATTTTTTGAATATATATATACCTTAAAAGCTAAAGAGTTTATTTTTTATTTAAACACTCTAATCTCAGGAATTACTGGTTCGAATTGAACGATAATTTTGTGTTGGATAGTCCATTTACAGCTATAAAACATTACTCTACGACCAATAGGAACTGAGCAGCAGGTGAAACTGCACGAGAGTAGCTAGAAACATAATAATACCAGCTTCTGCCCGCAGCTTCGTCCGCGTGGTATGTTGACAATAAGAAGAAGTCACTAGGTATGTGTTTTCAGGGTATCACCAAATTTCCAAATTTAATAATAAACATGCACACATCCATACATTCTCACAAACTTGCAGAGTAATTATTGGGTAAATATTATAAAAATCTAAAACTTTTGCACGGCGACCGAGCTTACCATTGCAAAGAAGCACCAGTTCAAACTACGACATTGTTATTAGTCAAAAGCAACTATCCGTAGCCAGCAGTTACGAATAGTCCCGTCTGACTCGATTTATTTATAAATTACTCGTTTATTTTCACAAAGTGATTTACAATCGATTTAGTGCAAGTGATGTGATGGCTAAACGATTTATCGATACTTTGTAATCGATTGATAGTTGTCGAGAAATCGAGTTTTGGATTTTAGGGTTTGTATAGTTGTTTAGAGTAAAAAGAATTTTAAATTCAGGCTCGCTGTTATTGTAGCGATACGACCCTTCTTTGAGCAGTGACTAAAAAAACGCCACGATATGGTGTCCTCACTTTATACAGGTACCGCCTTGTTTAACTGGCACGCAAGTTACTGGAGGTACCTGTTTTGGCTCCGGTGGCAGGGAACGTCTAGATTTCGTCACTGCAAGGATCACCCGGAGGATACAATCGTGGTGTGCACTACTTGGGCTGAGCCATGTCCTCAGGTAAGTGATCGGGGCGAGTACTCGCGCCCGGCCTTATAGCGAATGGAACTAGGATGCCGTCTCCTCCATTTGTTAAAAAGTCAAGAAGCTCGCAAAGAAGGAGGCTGTCCAAGAAGGCGGGGCGCCTTCTCAGTCACCGCTGGTAGTTTTCCTCAAACATCATATTAAATACTGGTGCGGACATCGCAACAAGAACGTAGAGAAGCGCCGAAAGAAATCCCAAGTGCCATCAATCAGTGATCAAGCTATTTATAAAGTGACATGCATCTAGTTTCGCTATTGAGTAATGGGTAGATAGAATTGGCAGCTCAACCGCTAAACTTTCCATTAGTCATCTCTTTGTTTTGCTATTTTAGACCTTAAATGGATCGAAGGACGTATGCAGATTGGTTATCAGGTTTGTGTGTGTAGCTGCTATAAGTGAGTAAGAGGTTGTAACTTTGTCTCCTGTTCCTGAGGGCAATTTCAGCAGTCGTCAAATTGATTAAAAAAACAACGGAATATTGAATTGAGTTACTATGTCAGGAGATACACAATGACCTAGATCTCACTCATATCGTAAGCCCTGATTGGAATAATAAATACAACTTTGTTTAGACCATTATTTTTATAACGCAGAAAATATTAAAAAATATTAGATAAACGTATTCAATATGTTAGGAACGCAAAACAATCACACTCCGATCATTCATTCAAACCCCAGCAGACCGTTGAAAATAAGACGTCTTGTCTTACTCAATGGCGAATACACGTCAATCCGTAGCCCAAATATTCGCTAACCACGTAACGTCTACGTAACACGTTTCAGTGCGCACGCGCAACCCGGTTCGCGCGTCACACGGCTCATCGAAACTGACCAATCAAAGGATGAAATGACCCGTGAAACTGATTGGATTTAAATTGAGAAACTTTAAGTAATCATTATTCGATAGATTATTTTTTTAAAATTGCATTTTTTTGAGAGAGTTTACTGACTACCAATATTTTGATAAGCTGTTGGCGCCGCCCATGGACACTTCAATGGAGTTACAGTGCGTTGGCGACCTTTTGATAACAAGGGTTTCGCATATTTGAGGATTGTGGTAGAACGGAGGGACGGAAAGCCTTAGACTTCACACAGCTAAACGTCAAACAGCCACTAGACAGATTTAGATTATTAACAACAGCTTTAATTATATAGGAGTTTAACAATCATCATATTTGTACTTACACATATTATACAGGATGTCTCATTATCGCACCTAATTAGATGCCCTTAGGCGAATTTCTGACAAATCGTATCTAATTACCTTTAGACGATAATTAATCAAGTCAAACGAATCATTACTATATACTACCTACATGTAGGTACCTAATACACCTATATATATAGACACACGTACATAGATCAGTAACTATTAATAATAAATATAAGGGGGACAAATACCATGAAAACAACATAAGACCATATTACAGATATAAAACGAAATGATTTTTAACTGACTTCTTTAAAATGCTT